ACATATATATAGGACTTTGTCCTATTCACTTAAAGAAAATAAAAACACTTTAAAATGATTTTCTTCTTATAAGTGTAAAAAATAAAATCAAAGACAAAGAAAAAACAATAGAAAAGTTTTTTTTTCACCAGGGTGACCCCTACAAGGTAATAATTGACAGACCTGAGTCAACTTTACTGTTTAATTTTGAGTTTTGAAGTGAAGCTCCTAGTTTTAGTGCACACACGTAAAACTATAACCTGGTTTGTGTTAAAGAACACGTTTTATTTTGAAGAGTCTTGTATTTTTTCAGAGGCTGCTCAGAAACTGATCATTATATTATTGATTTAGTCTTGTTTTACCTAAAAAAAAAAACTCTCACCTGGGCAGACAAACTTTCATTGGTGCTGTCTTGTTTTTTTTTTTTTTTTTTTTTTTTTTTAAGGTGGACTGATTCGTTTTGGTGCCTCTGCAGGACTTGGACCACAGTAAAGACCTCCTTTTTTAACTTTTTTATTATTTATTGATTTTCACTTAGGGTGCTGTGAGGGTCAACTCATCTTGAACCCAGCCAGACCAAGCAGCCTGTGAGTGGGGACACTTTTGTTTTGGGGCACCGTTGCTAAACTGCAGCACGTATTTGGAAGCTGTCACCAAGGCAACTGTGATGGATGAGTTTTCAGTCTGAGCTAATTTGTGCATCTGGTGAATTTACCTTTACCATCACAGTGAGCCATCATCAAATAAGCCCCCATGTCGGAGGTAAAGAGGATCAGTGAGCAGTTTGAGTCAGGGCGCCAGCAGCCTTCTGCTGTGGTGTTGTTGTTGCTTTTTTACTTCATCAACACTGACAATTTGAAACACGACCTTCATACTCTTGTCAAGGTTTGTTTGGAGATACTTTAATTGTTTCCACCACTAATTAGTTCAACGCAGAAGGCAAGTAGTCAAGCAGCAGTAAAACTGTTGGCGGGCTGCTTCAATGTGTGCTTGACTTTTGTTTTTCTCTCAGTGTCTTCATGCTTAACGCTCCATCTCAGGGTACTGCTCCTAACACTAAAAGTTTTTTTACAAAAAAAAAGGCGGGGAAAAAAACTAACAAGACATCTGAAATACAAGAAAATTAATCTGTACCTTTGATTTACATCGTTATTTTAGCAGAATAGTCTCTTTATTTGCAAAACAAAAACAATTAAACAAACAAATTCAATAATTATCAGAGGCTTTCAACCTTAAGAATAAGTTGTGATTAATGAGCGATTTCATGCGAATGCAAGATTTCACTTTCAGAGTATATGCATCTGAATAAGGCTTATTTTTAAAAACTTTTATTTGTAAAACTTCCAAAATTACAGACATTTTTTGTGTTCTGTGGCAGCCATCTTCAATTGGATAATTAGTTAATTAGTTGTAGATGAACATCAGTTGTTAACACTTTGTCAGGTTCATTAAAATCTGTCCAGTGGTTCATGGGATATTGTGCTAACAAACAGGGCTGACTTAGAGTTTCTGAATGTTTCTCAGCTTTGACCTCAACAAACTTTAGCTATGCTCAATCGGATGAATTATATGTAGTTTTCTTTGTTGGACATCTTAAAGTGTGTAGGTTCCAAAAGTTAATCCTTTGTAGATGTACATTCAATGAATATTTTCTGCAATTTTCATTAAAATTAGCCCAGTAGTTTATAAAATACTTAGCTAATGAAGAGACAGGATTCCCTCGCCTGCTCTTCGTCTTGTTGCAGAAGGCCATAATTGGAGTCAAAACCAGGTTTTTGGGTTTGCCCCTTGAAGCTGAAGATCACTTGTCCCTACACTAGATGGCGGTAGATGGCCAACCCAGCCTGCTTGAGTTTAGTCAATTAACCAAAGCAGGACTGCCTAAAGAGTCACCCAAAAAAAAAAAAAAAAAAATGCTTCACCAGTCTGTTGTCCACTTCACTGCGTGGATGGTTTGAAATTTGCAGCAGAGTTCAGCAAACAGCAGCAGCATGATTGTTGGATTTATTTATTTTTCTTACCAGGAAAAAGTTCAATTCAGTTTTGAAATACAGCAAAAAAATTCCAACAATGATTGTCTTTCCAAACGTTTCTCATGGGAGATGTTTTTTTTTCCAGCGATGTGTGATTATTGCAGCTATCTGGCAAGGCTGCAGCTGAAAGAGTTGTTTTATTTAAGGTTAAAATATCATAAACATTTACTCTAAAACAACAGGGAAAATAGATCAATTTTAAGACTAAAACCACTCACAATCTTTCTGAAATCTTCCTATTGACTCGTCCCACACTGTGAGGTTGAAATGAATATGATGTCATGACAGAGGAGGTTTAATAACCGCAGGTGAAATCATCTGATTACACAACCACTGACTTAATTTAAGGGATCTAGACAGGGAGTTTGGTGACAAAGGATTGTTTGCTTTTTTACGTAACTATTAGATGTACATGGACAACGATGGAAGAGATGTGAAGTGGATCAAAGATTAGGTGCCTCCAGAAAACAGTCTGATCAAACGCAAAATTATTGAACCGTATGCTTCAAATCTGGAGTTTTACTTCAAAAGCAGCCAAAACTGTTGCAATAAGAACTGAAACTGAACACTCAAGTTATGCATAACTAAACAATGATGCATGCTGATGCAACACAGGAATTAGTCTGGGACGTATTGCTATGTCCTGCTGCTGCCGCTAAACAAATAATCAAATCATTACCAATAAAAGTGATGAGTTGACATTTAACAGATCATTAATTGGGAATGTTTGTTCAGCGTTACTTCATGCATCAGATGATTTCCAACCACATGAGATGAATTTTAGTTGAATCCCACTTTGTTTCAGGTCTATTTAGCTTTTTAAAACAAGCAAGCATTTATATAAAAAACTGGTATTTAAACTGATGGGACTAAAAACCATTATAATCTTTGATAACAATAATTTTAGCTATAGCTAAATGCTATGAGTTTTTATAGGGGATGCTAAAGCTAACTTCATTCGGTCCATTGTAAAATAAATTCTAATAATATGGCGGAGAAGCTGTCATGTGACTGCGTGTGTGGTGTGAAAATTATGGTTTTCTTAAAATCAGTTAAATCTGAAATTATTTCTGTGAAAAACAGCAATAATTCTGTTGAGTTGTAGGCAGAGTTTCTGTAACAGTAGTTTATTTTTATTTCCAGCACAATGAGTTAGTTTGCAAATTTAAGATCCATCAATAGCCACTGTATGTACTAGTTACCACATGCAACAGAATGCGAGTATTTTTAATCCTACTTGTGGGAACCAACTGGTACTTGTGGGGACTGTACTGAAAATAACTTATATAACCTTGCCTGACTGCTAAGTTCACGTTACCTTGACATATTCTGTTCTGTATCTGATAACTGCTACATTTGTATAATCTGGTCTCATGATTCTTAAGACACCATTTGATGTCTAAGGACCTTGCTCTCATTTCATACTGCCTGTATAACTTGTACTCCTATTGTTGGTCATTCAATACAGTTGTCTAACTTGTAATATTGTGACTGACTGTTCACGGACTCCACCCGAAAGTATTTAATGCATTTCCTTGTCTGTTGCTAAGTCAGTAGCTACATGGCGGGACCTCTGATCGGACCTCTGCATTGCTGCTCATCTTTGCATTTGTAAACCTTTTTCTGACGACCAACCATGCAGTGCACCTTCTTTTATTCACGTGTTTCTGCCTTAGTGGATATTTCCATAACACTCATTAACCATAATAGACTCAGAAAATCATAAAAGTTTAATAATGGTGAAACACAAGATTTAGTACATCCTTAAATGTTCATTAATCCTGCAGGACCATATCACAAGACCTAAAGGTTCACAAGCAAAATATGTCAAATATTCTCCTGCAGTCCTTCATGTTTGTGTCCATGTCAGACTCTTCATCAGCGCTCAGTGTCCACATGTGCGTGATGCTGTTCACATGTTTAATCCAACAAAATACTACACAGTTACCTCTCACAAGCTTTCCTCTCTGTTCTTATCCCTTAACAAATGTTTAGGATGGATTCTGACCAAATTGTGTTCATGGAAAACATAGTGGCAGCTGAACTTCAGACAGGATAATTGTTTCCACTTTTGAGTGGATGTGGCCTCTAATAACTCAAGAGTCAGACTGACCAGCTGGCAGCACAAAGCCTTCTCGTGGTTTGTTTTTCGACATGTCTCCCTCTCTGCTCTTGGTTTGTTTTCTAAGGTCCCTAAATGATGTGAATTCCTCTCATAGCACTTGATGATCCCTGCTGACTCGCGAAGCAGCGCTCGCATGAAGACGACTGTGTTTGTGCTTGGAGGATAGAAATAACTCTGGAAAAACAAGTTATTTAGCTTCTTCAGCTGATAGTAACTTTAATCTGAGTGATCTGAACGTTGGGGAACAGTGATCCCAGTGTGGAGGTCCGAGCCTTTCAGGGACCACAAACATGAACATGAAGGTCATGATGAAGAAGATGGAAAACATCAGATTGTTGTGCACATCTTTATTGGATCCCAAGTGGCTCTTTTTCATTCTGTTGATGAGAGCACAGTTTTGATTTGAACATGTTAACCCTTTCGAACATGATACAGAAAGTTTGTGAGCCACTATAGATATGCTAATGAACACGAACAAAAAGAATGACTCTATTTCTACGATTACCAATAATGAAAGGTGAGAGATAATGGTTTTGTTTGTATTTCTGTGTTCATTTGTTATATTTGTTGTCATATATCTTGGTTGCACAGAGATGTGATGTAATAAAGATACCGGTTGTTTGGATTGTAGTTGTGTTTGGTCCAAAATGAAAAATAATATAATAAAAATGACACATGTTTGTAATTTGCACATTTTTATTCTTGGTGAAATTCTTGATTCTTTTTGTTTCTTTGATAAAGATAAAACGCATTTGTAACTCCGGTTCAATTTTATTTTCATTGTGCAGAAAATGGCAGCAATATTCCATATTCATAAATCGTAAACAACCAAACGCAGTCGTTGTCAACAAAAGTGAAACGTTCTTTAACATACGGTGCATATTGGAGACTGAAAATAATTCACATCAAATTCTTAAAAAAAACCTCCAGATTTGCTGTAGTACTTTGGTTTCTGTTTTGCTTGCTTCAGTTTTTGTAACCACAGTTTAAAATAAAGAGATCCATGATAATATCTGAACACTTTATATCTATCTTGGGTTTATTTTTATTTCTGTAATTTGTTTGCATAATCCTAATTACATGTGGTCGGTTTCAACCCAACCCTCATAAAATTTGTATTGCAGAAGACAACATTACTGGAGGAATTACCCAAAACAAAGTGCCCCAACTTAGATAAAAACAATGGTTTTAGTTTAAAAATAATAATAAAAAAGAATAAATAAAATAAACAAACACACATTTGCATTAAAAAAACAAGGAAGGAAACAAGAAAATATGACCTTTTTTGTTTGTTGAACCTTACAGGCTGGTTTTACAGAAATGGATCAATAATAATCATTTTGACTGCAGTGAATGACTGAAAACTAGTTTGTGTTTAGTTTTAAGGGGAAATGCTCCCTTTTTCCACAGAAACCCTTTGTTATCAAACTGAATTAATCTACAGATCGAAGAAAAAGTGCCAGGATTAAAGTGAAAATGCAAATAAAACAGAGTTTTCCTTCTTCTTTAGACAATTTTATTATTTGAGGATAAACTTCTGAAGTGATAACATTTTTCTTTTGGTGATGTATAGTTTATTGACCAAAATAAGCAGCTTTTAAACTGGTATTCTTTTAAAACTAAAATAAATCTTATAAAAACTCTCATATACTTTTTTCTTTAAAAAATAATTGACAGTTTGCTTGATGTTGTATGGTTTTAACATCAGTTAATTTAAGAGAAATTTCCATAACAACATTGTATCAGGTGTTAACTAATACTATCTACTTTCTTAATATTCTGCTGTGCAATTGCTGAGAATTATTTAACCTAAAATAGCTGTAAAATTCATTATATACTGCGCTGTAATGTTGGAAACTGTGTGCAAACTTATTCCCACTAAGTTCTTTTTCAGAGTGTAACTCAGCTTATATTGATACCAATGAAAGAAAAAAAGAAGTTATTTTTTTAAATTCAAAACAAATAGCACATGATATATTTACCAGCAGTTTATAATACTGTACCTTGTACAATTACACGTACTGATAGAGTGTTAGCCAAGATGATATTTAGGTTGTTTTTGGCAGAGGTTTTGACAAGCAGTATGGTATAAATCATAGCATAAATCAAACTAAGATTGTGCGCACACAGACTCCAGGCTCAGATCCGAAACAAACCTCTTGAACAACAAACACAAGAGTTGAGTATTTCAATGTGAAGCGCTCTGGTTTGGATGAAATGCCACTCAAAAGGTTTGTGTAATGAAAATGTCTCTACCGTAAAGAAAGCTTTGTAGCCGATGTTTGCATTTCGCTCCAGATTCAGTGCATCATAAATACATAAGTTACCACATAATGTCCTTTTTACTTGAAGACTTCATGCTGATATTTCTGCAAACACAGGCCCACATATTGTACTCATTGTCCAGAGTTTGACTGGAATGCTTTAAGAAACTATTTGTGGACGGACAGTCTTTGTAAACACCATGTCGGTTTGTCCATGACAGCAGGAAGTCCGTGTGGTGCCAACAAGAGTCTGAGAATCAACAAGCTTTGCCAGCCCGTCGCTTCTTCTCCAGATATATATATATATATATATACATACATGTATTGAAAAAGTCCTGGGGTTCCTGTTCGGTCCAAATCAGCTTATTTTTTTGGACAGTCCAGTCGTCTCATAGGTGGGGTTGTGGGGTGGGGGTGAACTTCTCCTCTTCTCACTTGCTGTTTGGTCTCAGGTTGTGCAGAAATCACAGTTTGCGTCAGTGGGTTAAGGTTTTACAGTTTAGCCATTTGTTTCCTGCAACATGAAGCTGAAATGAGACAAACACACAAAAGCTTAATGTTGTTAGAACAGAAAGACTTTTTGTTGCTGCTGTTGTTGTTGTTGTTGTTGTTGTTGTTGTTGTTGTTGTTGTTGTTTTAACGACCACAAAAACGTGAAATTCCATGTTGAACAGGGGAAAAAACATCTCTGTGAAAAACATTTTGTTTTTGTTTTTTTTTCTAAACTAAATATAAATGTTTGCCAGAATGATGGGATTCAACATTCACAAACATGTTTGCTGTAACCTACCTTTAAACCCCAACATGAAAATAAATATGTTGCAGAAATTTTGCACCTCAAATCAAACTAGTTAAACTGACAAATGATGGTAATAATTTTGCTGTCATTTATTCATAGACCATTTTTATTTATTTTAAAAAGTTTATAGTTTATACATTTGATTTGATCCAGTAAGAGGGGCTGTAGGCCTATAAGGAAGGAGAGACACCTTGTTCTAAATAACAGAATTGTGTTTTTAAAGCAATTACTATTTAAGTTCTAACTCAGTAAGTACTCAGTATCAGTACTCAGTGATGAGTACCTAAACTGAAGAGCTTGTACTTGTACTTGGTTACAGACCAGTAAAAGAGAGGAAAAATTTAAATTGACACAAAATGAGGCTGAAACTCAGTACATATTTAAATTGCATGAGATAGGTTTGAAATATGATTATGTAGAAACACAAAGCAACAAACAAATTCAAGACATTTTAATGCTGGACTGTCATTAACACTGTTTTACCTTCAACCTGGTTTTAACAGCAGCAACAGCAAAGCTGGTTTTATTTTCACTTTAATAAACTGCAGGTGTGTGTGTGGGTGTGTTTTCATGTTAATAAACCTACCTGTAAGCCTAAATATGTCCCAATGATAGCATCACATCTGCACAAACACAGCTCAAGTATGTTCAGATCAAAAGGCAACTTGCGTAAAAAAAATGACTTTGCTGTCCCAAAAGTGTGTAAAGAATGATGTTAGGAAGGGCTTTTGTTTATATTTTTTATCATACATTCTTTTTATTGTCACTTGCTGTCGCGAAAGTCTGGCATTCATGTGTTTGTATCTGCGTGTCATTTGTCTGTTAGCAAAATATTTCATGAACCATGTGAGAAAGTTTAGGAAAGTTCTTAGAAAATAATTAGTAAATATACATCTACAACTGAGTGAATCCATTTTAAGATGACAGCCACAGCTAATCAGACTTAGCACAATAAAAATGTTTGCAACCCATTTGATTTTACAGGCACTGAGCTACAATTTGGTGTGGTAGTAGATGAGAATCATCTTGTATAAATACTGTGAGCCCTGACAGCTTGCATAAGATCTTTGTTTAAAATGTTAGCATGAAAGGCAGTGAGCGCTACTCACTTTCATAGAATGCTAGTGTCATTTTGTTGGTATTTACTGCTTTGTGTCTTTATCTGGTGTCTAAAAATAGAACATTTTGTTGAATTTGGAGAATTTCCATCACAGGATGGTCTCTGCATGTTTTCATCATGTTATTGTGAGTTTTCTCAGTCACCCTGATCAGCATTTAAGTTTCCAGCAGATTAAAAATAGCTTCAGCCATATTTACAATTGACTTTGAGTTTTCTTTTATAAAAACAGCCTCGGCATCCTCACTGCAACTCCTCTTCTTTTGTTTATTTTTCTTGTTAATTACAGAACATTTTCTCTCATCCTTTTCTTCTGCCTCCAAACAAGACATGCATTCTGATGCTATCACTTCTGCTCAGCGTGTCTTCGCAGGAAGACGTGAATAACCTACCTTAAACTTCACAGAAGAGTGAACGTGGATAAGGAAAAAAGCCTACAGGAAGCAGTTAATCTGACCTTGTTAAGCTTTTGATAATCAGCTGGATGTGTCATCCTTTAAGCACAGATTCACAAACCACAGTGTATGTCATATTTCTATCTGTAGTTTGTATAATTTTGGGAAAACTTGCTATTTAAATGTTACTTTAGTTCCTAAATGATCAGTCAGTTCAGACACTGAACTGCAGCCTGCAGTTTACTGTCTGTCATCTGTCAAGTTGTGTACATGAAAAACCCAGGGAGCTGGCACAAAAAATCCAGGACTCGGAGGTAAAATAACTAATTTATTTCCCCAAAGTGAAAATGCAGACGTGGCAGCTGAAAACGTGCTTGCAAATAAATGAACGAACGAACGAACGGAAACAAAATGAAACGAAACACACAGGAAGCCAACCAGACTGACTTGGAGAAGTACAGGGAACTGACGAGCACAACACAAGACTGAGAAAATAAATGGACCCTAATGAACGTGAATGAGAAACACCTGGGGAGAGACAGGAGGAACAGGTGAGTGTGGGCAGGGCCAGATCAGAGACTGACAGGAAAACTAAACTGACACAGGAATAAAGAAACAATAAGCCAAAGCTCGTCAACTGCTTGCCTGTCAAAAAATTTATACATATATACATACANACCTATATACCTATATATATATATATATATACACATTTACATATGTGTGTGTGCATGTGCATGCGTGTGTGTGTGTATGTGTTTTTAAAACAATTGTAAATTAAAAATGAATGATTTAATGTAAGAAAATTAACAAGTTTAAAATGTAAAAGATAATAATAATGTTCTTCTACATAATGCAGTGTTCCGTCGACTGTTTTCATGCAAACCCGTCCCCACCCCTTAGCTGTTGGCTTTGATTAACTGTGCCCCCCTGAGCCATTAAAGCCCTGCAATAAATAAATCACAGAAAAAAATAAAGACCAAATCCTACATTGCATTTGACAGTGGGTCTTATTTGTACTTTCACAGAAAGCGGATGGTTTGTTTAGAATTTGGTGATACTGGAAATGAGTATTTGTTCAACTAAGTATTATTAGGAAACTCAGTGATGTATTGCTTGCTCTCAAACTGAATAATTTCTGTCAGCAGATCTTAAATAAACTGAGAGCAAATTAGAACTTGGCTTAATAAACTGAGGGGATGGATTCTTAAAACCTCAAGTCTTTTTTATTCTGTGACATTGTGTTAGTTATTAGTCTAACTTGAACAAAGATTTTCTTCATACTCTGCACTTTATAACTGATGTCATGACCAATAAATACTATCCTTTTGACAAATATATGATGGGATATCATTTCAAAAGTGACCAGATGTTATTGAAACTCAATGAGTATCATAAATCTTGTTTTTTTTTCTTTTCTTTTTTTACCAGCTGCAGGCAAAATCCATATTTATTCTAAACATAAAGTTGTTCTTTTCTTTTATTTTATGTTTGTTCAAGACTTGGATGCTTTTTCATGCTTCAGATATCAGACAGCCATTAAAAAAAGATTGTTGTGGTTTCCCCTTAGGTCAGCACCTCAGTGTTTTGTTTTATCCTCTTTCTTGTTTCATGCTCTCTTGGGCCTGATCTCAGTCTAAGCTCCCTAAAAGCACAACAGACGAGGGGTCGAGTGAGGCTGGATTGGAAGCCCAATTAATACGCTCAGGAGTAAAGCTCAGAATTACCGGGTTCACAGCACAGGAAAGTGCACGACCCCTCCTGTCACACATGCAACACGTCAAGTTGTTGTAATTACTCATGCTCGCTGCAGAACGTTTACACATGCTCGCTGCAGAACGTTTACACATGCTCGCTGCAGAACGTTTACACATGCTCGCTGCAGAACTTTACTGAAATTAAAACTTAGATGACATATTTTCTAGTTGAAGAACATATACAGTATGTCCTAAACCATCAACTCACGATGTAACTGGTAAACATTGCTAAACAGAAGGAAGGATATATTTTATAATAACAAAGTGTCCAATAATAAAACACTTAGAGAGGATACAGCTGGCATGAGCAGAAAATGCAATTAAACCAACATATTTAGCCAGCATAATGACACAGTTTGTTCCCACAACACAGTAACACCCAATTATTTACTGTATAACCTTTCTTTGAAACATCAGCTTGTTTTAGCTTCTGATCCGACAGCTCACGTCTGACAGATTTATGGGCTCGTTTGGACTAATGAGTCCTTCTCAGCGCCTTTACAGGCTCAGTGTTTGTTCTGCAAATGCCATTTTCCATCATTTTTCAATAGTTCTGGCTTGAGGGTTTTTTTTTTTTGTTTTGAGTTTTTTTAGTTCCCAGTGAATAAAAATATCAGATGATTTTGAAGCCATGTTAATTGATTTTTATTTGAAAAATAACTTGAGTAAAAAATAAGTTCCCAAACTTTAGATTTTTCTGCCATGTCAGACTTGTTTGAAGCTATATCTGGACAAACTCATCTCAAAGATTTAAAAAATAAGTTCTTGCTGTGTCTTATCAGACATCAAGAAGTTTTTATTTCTGCTCCACATTCAACATCACGTTTTTACCCACAGTCTGGTTCTGCCCCTTCCTAAAACATCAAATGTTCTGCTCTGTTAGCTTAATTTTAGCCTTCTCAAGTGATGGATTATATGTTTCTAACGCTCTCCATCTGTTCATTATACGGCAAGATCTTACAAATAGGTGGGGATTTTGAGGAAACCGTATCCAATATGCATGTTATTCAGATGGACGTGACGAGCAAATGAAACTAAATTAATCACGCAGAGTGTCAGATTACAGGGAGATGTTGTGAAAGGGCTGGATAAAGATTTGTTTGTCCTGTAACCTGAGTTGTGCGTGACACAAGCAGACGGTTGCTCTGAATGTTGATAAGGGCTGTGCTGATGTGCCAGCATGTAATTTTATGAAAACAAAGTGACTATTGATAATGTCTGTGTGAGGAGCTGCCATTTCTCCTCATTCGTCTCAGTGGTGGTATCTAATTTTTTCATTTATTTATTTTTATTTATCAGCCCTGCAACTCATCACCTCATAACTTAACCAGCACTAATGTTTCAGGTCCTGTGATTAAACATCACAGGATTTATTCATTAGTGGATGTTATTTAAAAATCGGGTGTTTTCTTGAAAATTTAGTGGGGTTTTTTTTTTCACATTTTACTGGAGGTTCATAATGAGCAAGGCAGTATTTTGGCCAGTGCAGACTTTTGTTTGTGTGATGTGAGGAGGAACATGTTGCAGAATCAAAAATAGAAGGCCGCTGCAGGTATCCAATATTTATAACGGTTAACAAAAAAAAAAAAAAAGAGAGAGAACAAAATCTAAGTTGAAGATCAGTATTTCTTGAAGAAAAACTCGCTGCCTTTGATCGTAAAGTTTTAAACTAAAACCACCTTAAGTTGAGAAGGGACCGACTTGTTCTGATTAAACCGAATAAAAAACTATTTGATGATCTCATGCAATACTGTGAGATGTTGTTGATATCTCTCAACTATTACCATATTTAGATCAAAATAGGTAAAAGCCTCTGAGTTATAGAACTCTTTGTGTTGATAAAGTTGAGTCCTCTGTAGGTGTGCGTGTGCAGCCAAGATGTCGGGTGTGTTGTCTTGTGTTTTCTCGATATATATTTCACTTATCTTCTAATCTCTCTTTCATTCTTTCCCATTATATTTCACTTTTTTCTTCTCTTTCTTTTCCTTCTTTTCAAAAAAGTCACTGATGATGAAGAAACTAAGAAACTAATGTTCAGTTCTGCTTTCTACTGAAGTGGCTAAAAAAAAAAAAGTTGACTCCACTGGCTGAGTTTTAAAATGGGTCTTTTGTTGGTGTTTAAAGAATGTGTTGGGGATGACTCACAGATACCACCACAACTTATAGCTTTAAATCTGTGAAGGATTAGCATCATTTTGTTTTTGACTGAATTTCTTTTCGCTGTATTTGTTCCTGTTTATGAAAACCTTTGAAGTTTTAGATAGTTTTCTTATGAATTCTTGAAATTTATTTACTCTGCTATAATAAAACTTAAAGCTTAATTTGGGAGAAAAATCAACAACAACAAAAAAAGATTTGATAATATGTATTAGACATTCTCATCTCTTCAGGAGCTAAGGTGCTTTGTTTTATTTATTTTTGTTTAACTGACAAGGAATCTGCACTGGTCCTGTGGCAGATGCTCAATATCTAAAGCAGTTTCATCAGGGTCAGTCTGTTATTTCCTTCATTAAAAGCCTGTCTTTAAATCTTTCTCCCATCAGACTCATATTTGAGCGCCTGCTCTCACTTACATTTGTAATCCTGCTCAAAGCGCAGAGTGAGTCGGCTGAGCCTTCCCTTGGGCTGAATTACTGCCGAACGCTCCGGCCTCCTTTTATGGAAGACTTTGATAAGACCATAAATATCTTTTGTATTGTGTGCCCATTGATGTCTTTAGAATACCTCTGAGGGGGAAGTCATGTCAGGTAATAAATGACTGATAATCTGCAAAGCAAACAGTTTAAAATGACACATGCCCGGTTCATAAAACTACATTACCGATGACGGTTCACACGGTAATAAGAATGCTGGTTTGTTTTAAAAGCGCTTCCTTTCTACAGTTAAATAAGTGCTATTTTTGTGTTTCTTACTCAATTTAAAAAAATTCCACTTTTAAATGTGCATTGAGATTAATAATGATTCACAACGGTAACTTGGAGTTGTTTTGACTCAATTTGGCTTCTTTAGTAATTGCAAATGAACTGAAAATGAAGTCTTTATGAAATAAAACTGTAAAGTATAATTTGATCTGGGATTTATGTAGGGTGACTTAGCTGCAAAATAATCTAAAATTCAACTAACTTTTATTTTTTTCTGAGAGTCGTTTTTTGTGTGTGTGTGTGTGTGTGTGTGTGTGTGTGTGTGTGTGTGTGTGTGTGTGTGTGTGTGTGTGTGTGTGTGTGTGTGTGNGTGTGTGTGTGTGTGTGTGTGTGTGTGTGTGTGTGTGTGTGTGTGTGCAAACTTTAATTTCTAACCCTTAAAAATCATATTTCAATCAATATCAGCTGGTGGTTCATGCACCCAGCAGCTGTTATGCAATGGCTCTTCTTCTGCAGAATCCACTGATATCATCAGGACACATGATTACAGTACAGCGTGTACAGTAGGGCCTGCTGTCAGCTGGTGGATTACAACCCTGATGAATCAAACACTGAGCTATCCAACCACAGTTAACCTCCGCTAACAAGGACGTTCTGATTGGCTGCTGGCCTTTTGTAAACAGCCGGTCCATTTACAGGGGAAGTCTTGCTCTTAAGTGATAAAGATTTATCAGCTGCACAGAGCGCTGGGCAGGGCGCAGGCAGGCCCCCAGACAGGCAGAGGGACACAGTAATATCAGGCTGCTCAAGTGTACTTGGAATTTATTTAATTCTTATTTTGTTTTGTTTTTTCGTTTAGATTTTTTTTTGTCAACTCAGCATTTAACACACAAATTTATTGTTTTTAAAGAAAGCATTTTCCATAGTGATCATTACAATAAATATATCAAATGTAGGATTCAGGCTATTTCTCTTTTATTAATCAGTTCTTTGAGTTTTTTACTGTTCATCACTTCTTGTATGTGAACCTTCATCAGCTCGAGCTTATTCTCTGCCATTATTTCTGCTCTTTTCAGTAAGTGATGCTAAAACGACCCTCAAGAGTTTATTGGATCAAACTCAAAAATTCAAATACGAAGTTCCATTATTTTTGCTTGAGCTGCATTTCTGTGAGTCCAGCAGCTGCCAATACTTCAGGAGGGATTTATTTTTACTCTTTGTGCTTTGTTTATTTCACTTTTGGTCTGCAGCATGAAAGAGCGTATCCAAATAAGGTTTCTTTTTGTTTCAATAAATCCATAGAACTGTTTTCTGTTGAATTTAAGTGTTTTAATTGTTTTATTTTGCATGAATATTATTTTAAATCACATAAGACATATATATGTGTGAATGCCAGATTAAGATACTTTTCAAAACTAAGTAATGTGTTTGCTTTTAGAGTTCAGAGCAAACTGATAATGTATAAAAAAATACACTTTATGCAAAATCAAAAATAAAAATGCTTTAATGTCATTTTGAGATTGAGTTTTCTTAGAATTGTGTCAAACTTCACAGTAAAAAATTTAGTTGATAAATTAATGCAAGATATTTTAGCCTTTGTTTCACATTTACTGACTTTTGTCAGGCATGATGTAGTTATTTTACACACTTAACATCTGGTGTAAATGAACAAAAAATAGTAATAATTTTTAAATTAAAACCAGCTGGCTTATCTGTCTGTCTCTCTGATGGTCTTCATGTTTTATTTGTCTGTTTCATCAGTCCCAAAATGATCAGTTACTTTATGATAAGATGCTTCAAATTTCAGAGGTTTGAGTTATGATTTCTTACTAATTTCTTTTTTTTAATCAGGAGTAAAAGTAAAAGTTTTGTTGTCATTAGCAGACAAAATGATCTTCGTGTTTGTAGTTTTTGTAGTTTTGTTTTTGTTTGTTAGTACAAACCTGAGCTTTTGTTTTAGTTGAGAGACTGGTTAAATTAACAAAAGAAAAACTTACAACTTGGACTCTGGCTGTGAACTGTTGTTGAAGTGTGCGTTGCCATTTGTCTGCAAAGGACCAAAAGATGCCTCCTTGCTTCTGCTGGCCGAACTCTCGCTGCCCTCAGTCCTGTCCTCAGGAGACTTTTGTAAGGAGCCCGCCGAGCCTGGGTTAGTTTGCCACAGAAAGCAGGAGCAGCGAGTTCGTAGTTCCTTAAGGAGGGCGTTCAGCCACAGTGTGGAGAGCCACGGGCACCCCATCAGGTTCTTAAACGCAGCCCGGAACTCTGGACTTCTGCAGTAGATGATTGGATTGAGGCCAGAGTTTATGTAACCCAGCCAGTTCAACAGCAGGAAGATATGCTTGTCAATAATATCATTGCTCAATCCGTTGATGACGTTGGCAACAAAGAAAGGCAGCCAGCACACAGTGAAGGTTCCCATGATGATACCTAAAGTCTTAATAGCCTTGTGCTCCTTGACGAGCTGTAGCCGGGATGGCCTCCGCTTAGAGCTCTTTTTTCTCACAGGATTGCTGCCGGAGCCCACTAATGCTGAAGGCAAGATGTGGTTAATGCTGAGACCTGTTTGGATCGGTGCTGACGGGCATTCGTTCTGGAAACGGAACCGATTTTTGTCTATGAGCTGGACTTGCCGTTTTGCTATTACGAAGACTTTTGTGTACACAATTATCATTATGATCAGAGGAATATAAAAGGACACCACAGAGGATGAGACAGCATATGTAGCATTTGTTATAAAGTCACAGCATTCAGTTCTGTTATAGCAGTCTGTCTCGTCAGGCTCGACACGCCAAGACCCAATCATAATTGGTATAAAAGAAGTTACGGCGGACACAACCCAAACTAAACAAACTATTAGTCTAGCACGGAACTTACAAAGTAGCACTTTGTGTCTCAGCGGCCTTGTGATGGCTATATACCGATCTACTGCGATGACACAAAGAGTTTCAATGCTCGCCGTCACACAGAGAACATCAACCGAAGTCCAGAGGTCACAGATTGTGTCACCGAACTGCCAGTTACCTGTTGAAACATAACTGGCCCCGGGGGTCACCACCAGGACCCCCATGATGAGGTCTGCACATGCCAGGGACATGATGAAGATGTTGGTTGAAGTCTGCAGCTGTGGGGTGCGTGCCACAGCAATAATGACCAGCAGGTTTCCCACCACCGTGATCAGGATGACAATGACCACGACAATAAGGAACCAATGTCCCTGTGGAGGATGGTAGGATGCTTGGTTTGAGCTGTTCGTCTCCAAAAATCCCCCTGTTTGATAAGACGTTTGGTTTGTGATGTTCATCTTTCACTGGATCAGCTCAGTCAATCAAAGTTGAAGGTGTTGTCACATCAAAATAAAAGTTCTGCTGCATCCTATTAATGGATCTGTTCTCTTCTTTGTGGCTGATGCTCACATTTTGCACCTTAAGAGCTCCCTCAGAGGGTCGAGGTGGGTCCCCATCGTTTTGAAAAAGGGAATTGGGACGCTTCTGTAGGCAGCAACACGTTCTTCAAACAGTTCAATCCAAGTTATCCACAGAACTGAAAGAGTTGCTGAAACTTTGTGAATCCAATAAAAAGAAGTCTAAATGGAGAGTTCAAAAGTTTTTCAATAAAAAAACTAATTTTGATCCATTACCATATGTCCACCAGTAAAAGTCTTTTCATGGAGACTTGTTTGAGCCCCGGTGCTTCAGTTAAAGGAGATCAAGCAAACAGTGACGCCTTTACAAGAACCACCGGAGTGGCTGCCCCCTTTTTCTTTTGGTCTCTCCCTCCCTCTCTCTGCCCCCCCCCTCTCTCTCTCTCTCTCTCTCTCCCCCCCCCCCCTCTCTCTCTCTCTCTCTCTCTC